TCACACACCCAGAAACAGCCAGAGGAGGCCATTATGGAGGATTTGCTCCATAATTTTCCTGGAAACTAAGGTTAGATTGACCAGCCTGTCACGCTCTGGATCCTCCTTCCTGCAAGAAGGTATGACATTTGCCCTTTTCCAGTCATCTAGAAATCTCCTCTGATAACCACCACCTGTCAAAGATGAAAAACAGTTAGTGGCCTTGCAATGATGTTGACTGGCTCCTCCAGCACCCTCAGCTGCATCCCATCTGGTCCCATGGAGCAGTTTTTGTCTCGTTTGCTTCTGCAGTTCCTAACTCTGTCTTCCTTCACCACGGTCAGTATTTCACGCCTTCTGACAGCCACGAGGCTCAGGGAACCTGAGATGCCTGTGAGCAGACCTTGCTAGTAAAAACTGAGACAAAAAAGGCACTGAGCACCATGGCTTTTTCCATGCTGTTTCTAAGTAGGTCCCCTACCTTGTCAAAGAGTGTACCCACATCTTCCTTCATCTTTCTTTTGTTTTTGAAGTAGTAATGGCCACTTTCCTTGGTGTTGTTCATATCCTTTGCCAATTTCAACTCCAACTGAGCTGTGGCCTCCCAACTCCACCCCTGCATGCCTGCACAATCCTTTTGCATCGCCCTGGTAGTTCATCCCTGCATCCACCTTCCAAGCCCTCCCTTTGGGCTGTTTAAGTTCAGACAAGCATTGCCCATTTAGCCAAGCTGTTCTGCTGCCTGCCGTTCCTCTGCCATGCCTGCGTTCATTTCAGCTCACTGGAGAGACTGGTTTTGTGCTATGAGCATGGTGTCTTCGAGTATCAATTCACACTTCTAGGCTCCATTGCCCCCCATAGCAATTTCCTGAGGGATCTGAACAGGCACATTTCCTGAACAAGCCCAGTTCTGTTCTCCTGAAGCACAGAATCTTTATTCTGCTATTGGTCTTCCTTACTTCTCTTGGGATTTTAACTCTAAGGTCCTGGAGTCACTGCTACCAAGGCTGCTCTTGACCTCTACAGTGCCGTCTAGTTCCTCCTTGTTTCTGAGTAACAAATCCAGCATCTGGGTCAAAAAAAAAAGTGTTCTTGATGCCCTACAAAAGTTGGCTGGACTGCTTGTGAGAAACACTCGTTCACAGATAAAAATGTAGGGAAGACAAAGTCTTCGAAGCAAAGATAAAAATTTATTCAGGATCAAAATAAACCAGTCAGCTGAGCCAGGTGCATCTCAAAAAGAGCACACCTAGTTACAAAACTTCAGGTATTTATGTCCTGTTCCCTTTAACCATTGGTTAGGTACTTCAGGGCGCACATTCTTTCACGACCGGTTAGCCTATCACAAACTTGATTCACGTTTTTCTCCTTTTAAGTTGTTTTTCTAAGTTACATAGCTCTGCTTGTGCTGTCGACACACAAAATGGCTGTTCATAGCCCTGCTCGTGTCGTCGACATACAAAATGGCTGAAGCAAAACAATCCCTGAGTTCCAACTCTCACACTGCTTTTATCCCACTGGGTGATTTCTCCAGGTGTCAGAGCAACTTTACATTCCCAAAGAAGCCTGGGCCTACAATCATGAGCTTTCTTCTAGTTATTTAAGGCTTCATCCGCTTCCTCTTCCTGGTCAGGCAGTTTATAGCAGGTGGCCCCGCAACGTTCCCCATGCTGGTCTCCCCACTGATCCCAACTCCTCAGATCTCGGTTGACTTGTTGCTCAGTCCAAAGCGGAGGAAAGCTCCAGGCAAAGAAATCCTTGTTTGTGTAGAACACAACTTCCACTCATTTCCCTGCCTGCTTTTCCAAAAGAGCTTGTATCCTCCCATCACAGCACTCGTCATGAGCTATGCCACCCTGTCCCTGTGATCTCAAAGAGGTCACAGCTCTGCAACTGTGCCGATACATCTAATTCCCCCTGCTTCTCTCGTGAGCTGTGTGTGTCCACACAGTATCACACCCCTTTCTCAGGGCAAGCGAGCAAGCTTTGGCAGCCTGCTGTCCCTGGCCAACTCTGTCCACCCCCAGCCTTCCTCCACATGTCTGCAGAAGGTTGTCTCCATCCCCACAGGTTCCCCAGCTGTGGAACTTCCTTTATTTTAACCTGGAGCTTAAAACACCAACTATCTATAAAATAAACTATTCCCTATTGGCATGGTAGGCTGTGGAAATAGCAAGCAAGAGAGCGTGCTCTGCATTCCTTGCAAAACCACAAAATTCAAGGCATTATTTTGCTTAAAAACTCAGCTATGATAGGCCAACATCACTATCGGTAAAAAAAATTCTGGTTTGGCTTTTTGTCTTTAGTTATTACAGAAAGATTATTTTGCTTCTCTGTGTTTTTTTTTTTTTTTTTTAATAGGAATCAACATTCACATTCCTATTTGAGGTGCAGCAATGTTAAACCACTGCCCATCTGCTGCGGAACAGGCAATCTGCTCTGCAAATTCTAATGTAATGAATTTATTCACTGAACTGTAATTTAAAGTGGTTCTGCATTCTGCTGCAACTTACTAAGTAAGAGTCTGAAATTTGATAGATAACTAAATAATTTAAACAGAATAGGAATAATTTCTTATGCTCTTCATAGATTAATTCTTTTTTGTCATAACCTT